TTATCTCCGCAGGTGAGTCACTGCGTCAGGTGAACTGCGGTAAACAGGTTGTTGGATCAGGAGCAAAACATTACGACCTGTTTTTAGACTTAGAAACGGAGAGAATACACAAACAGAAAGAAATATGAGATGAGATTTAAGTGTAAACCGACTGAATTAAAGTAAAACCTGCTTGTTTTCAGATCTTTGTGCTTCGTGCAGCAGCTTCAGTTTCAGTTTTTCTCTCTGTTTCTCCTCAGATCAGTCGATCAGATCTGGACCTGGACAGACGGTTACTCTGCCGTGCCGCCTGACCAGCAGAGACCCGGTTCTGGTTGTGGAGTGGAGCAGAACCGATCTGGGGTCAGATTACGTTCTTCTGTACAGAGACGATCAGCTTGATCTAGAAAACCGGCATGTGATGTTTAGGGACCAGGTGGATCTGCAGGACAGACAGATGAAGGATGGAAACGTGTCTTTGGTTCTGAGGAACGTGACGACTGACGACAGAGGAGCATACGAGTGTCGAGTCGTTCAGACAAACAGCAGAACAGAGACAGTCTTCATCATCAACCTGGATGTTCTTCCTCCTCCAGGTGAGTTGATGTCTGCCTCTGCAAAACTCCTGAAGGGATCTACCTTCACCTGCTCAGAGCTGCAGTTTCCAAGTTTCTGCCTCTCTCCCCCTCAGCTCCTTCAAACTAGCCAGCAGCAATTAGCAAGCACCTGGTGGAACTGCTGAGCTCATTATAGGAGCTACTTCTCATAGCAACGCTGGCAAAACTGGTAGTTAATAGAGGAGCCATGTTGTGATGACTTCCTGAAGGCGGAGTTTCAGAAAGAGCAGGAGGTTTTAAAGAGACAGAGACCCAATTTCAAGGAGTTAAATTACAAAGTGAAACTTATTTTAAGTTATATTTTATGAGACCCGAAGGTAACATAGTTACTTGATTGGGCTATAAAATGATGCTACATGTCTAGAAAATACATAAAACTACCCTTTAATGCAAAGTAAAAACCGCTTCTTATGATGCAGAAGGTATATTTTAACTGGTGAAATGCATTTTCAGCCCGTCAGATAAACAAGAATATGGTATGTGACTAAATGTCTGATTGTTAAATATGTTTATAGTACTGAAATAAAAACATGAAATAATCCAAGTGAGAGATAAAGAAAAAGGAAATAATTTATTTTCTATCTTCTTTCCTCCGAGTCTCATTATTTTCTGTACCAAAGTCTGTTAAGATACTGGAGACCGGTGTGTGTGTGTGATGTGTGTGTGCTGGTAGCCTGAAGTAAACGCAGAGCGACGCTGTGGAGCGGCAACATGTCACAGCATGAACAGACCAGAACTGTACTGAAGGAGGCGCTGTTCTGAAGGAATGAACTGAGATCCGGTGAACGGATCACTGATCCGAGAGACTCAGTTCAGTCAGATGAACAGTTCTCCTCATCGTCCTTCAGCTCCTCCTTCTTCCTTGTTTCTGTCGCAGCTCGTGGATCATCGGTGTTTCTGGATGTTTGGTATTTTATTGATTAGAGGCCCGATAAAGTGGAAATATAATAAGGTTTAATGTTTAAAATAAGGTTTAATGTTTAAAATAAGGTTTAATGTTTAAAGTGAATCTTCTGGTGTTTTGTTGTCGCGATAAGAGAAATACGTGAAACTGTGGCGGTGGACAGAAACACGGAAATGGATTCTCTATCAGCTACTTCACTGTTTTCGGCCCTGATCTTCATCATCGTCTTCGTCTCATCTGTCTCTACAGGCGAGTTTCTGGAGGAAAACTAAGATCCAAAGTTATTTTGATCTGAGATACGGCGATAGTTAAAGTTATGCTATCCACGGAGACACATGTTCACATAATGATGATAATCACTGTTTATGGTCCCAGTTAGTGCTGGTTCACAGAACAACAGACTAGATCATCATGCAGAGACACCAGGAGCAGAAAAGCCTGTTGAAGCTTTAAAGACCTTAGAGATCGAGACGGTCGGGTCTCCATGTTTCCTCCTCCAGGGGCGGAGCTAGCCTTTAGCTCTCCGGAGGGCACATGGTTTGTGGGGCCCTGAAATGAGCAACAATTCAATATTTATCAGTGTCTCTGTTTATTTGGTGATGAAAACTGAGGCTCACCAAGTCAACCAGTTTACATTAAAGGGAATAATCAAATAATATCTAATTTGTTTTCTCTGATCAGTATTCAAGTTCTCATGACCATCATCATGATCTAAAACTGGTTTGTTCACCAGTAGATGTCACCAATATGATCCTTTTGCATTAGAAAAGAATCCAGACTGAACCTTCATAATAGAAACAGGACAAATCCATTTATCTTTCTTACATAAACATTGTATCAAACTTTTCATTCTGGTGACTCTGACCAGTTCAATGACACAAAAACCTATTTATTGTAAAATATCTATTTTGAACTATGAAGTTGTTTTTGCAGGTGATCAATCAGGTTCTGCAGTAATTGTTTAAACATCAGAATAATTCCTTTTGGATTATTTCTAATGTGTTTACTGCTTTTGTATTTATCATTTTCATATTTTACTTGTTCAACACAGCCTAGTGCTGCTTCAGTAGCAAATATCTTCATGTAAAAACCTGTTTTATCCACAACAGTAAAATAACTCAGTAGCTTCTTCCTGATCCTCTGTCAGGCATCACTCACAAAGCATTCTGGGATTTGTAGTCCTTTCTGCTCTATGGATGAATGATTACCTTGATGTTACTTTGTAGCATCTCTGTTCTGATGTTAAAGGCAGAAA